CGGGAAATGCGCCTGGTGCTCCGGGAAATGCGCCTGGTGCTCCGGGAAATGCGCCTGGTGCTCCGGGAAATGCGCCTGGTGCTCCGGGATATGCGCCTGGGGCGCCAGGATATGCGCCTGGGGCGCCGGGATATCCACCTGGTGCTCCAGGAAATGCTCCTGGTGCTCCAGGAAATGCTCCTGGTGCTCCGGGATAACCTGAGAAGCCACCAGGCTGATTGCCCCAAGGATTCGTTTGCATATTTGGATTAGGATTGTTGGATCCTGACAGGGCATCTGATAGCTGTGAGGAAAATAAGGAATTTGTTACGCTTTTTCCCAGCCAGTAGCAATATCTTTGCTGAATTTCTGACATTCTTGGCTTTCCCAGAAATGCCATGATCCATGACAATTTATTAATACCCCTTCTTTAAATGACAATGGAGTGAGGGTCTAGAAGACAAACTGAAAAGTGGGGCATAAATTTAATAGTAATTAAAAACAAAAGGAAAAGTAAACGTGGAATTAAAAAGCACCATTTTCTTCAGACTTACCGAAAATCCTTCAGACATCTTCCTGAAACAAGAAAGACAACAGGACAATTAGCAGAGCTCAGGATTTTTTAAAGAGACTCCGGGATCCAACCCAGATTTTGGTAGAACTTCAGTGTAAAACAGAGAAAAATGTGAAACTGAGAATATATCTAAGTGCCTTTTGTGGAATGGAAAAACTAAGGCAATACAATCTATGTAACCAATGACTATCTTGCTAGAAAAGAATGTGTGGTTTTGTGTTGTACCTAGACACACATTTCTTACTCTGTTTTGGTCATTTAAGCGCAGGCTGATGATGAGATGAAAAACTCAAATCTTGTACATGGTCTCAGTAAAGGTATTGCCTGACTATTGATATTTGGATTATTTTTCATGGATCACAGAATATAGTTATGATATTATTATTATTATTTCCATCTTATTATATAGAGGGAAGAAAAGGGATAAGTAACAACAAGCCTGTGATGTCAGTAGAGGGTGCTCCAGGACTTCAAACAAATAAAATCAAAACTCTGAAAACCATTCAAAAACCTGTTAAATGTTCACAAGGATGTATAGAATTGTAAAAGGATTTTAACTATCTGAAAAGGTTCATATGTCCTGCAGTAAGATTTTAATTTTGATTGATTTATATCCCGCTTTACATTTTTAAAAATAATTCTAGGTGGCAAACATAACCCCTTCCTCCTCCAATTTTTCCTCTGAGGTGGATTTTGCTGTAATAGATTGACTGGCCCAAAGTCACCCAGCCACGTTTTCATGCCTAAAGTGGGACTAGAACTCACAGTCTCCTGGTTTTTAGCCTAGTGCCTTAACCACTAGACCAAAGTGGCTCTTATGTGGTCCACCAGAGTTTCCATCAATTAGATGAGCCCAATGTACAAAATACATTAGGACGCATATTTAAAAAGCACAATTTGGCAGAGGTTTTTTTTTTACATTCCTCCTTTTTGTGTCTGTGTGGTGGGTGTGGGAGGTAACTATAATAAGCCTTGAGGAGCAAAAACTATAGTAAGTTCCCCTTTTACAGATAGACTAGGCTGGACCTCTGATCGAATTTTAATGCAGAAAAAGGAAGATTTTCAAGTGTCTTTTGCTTGCTCTGAATTTCTTCAGAGTGAAACAGAGAATCCTCCGCCCCAAATGAATGGCCTCAGACTGAGGAAAGCCAAAGGATAAATGAAGGAAAAGTAGAACGGGGGAGGTTTTGAGGTGGACTTTAAAAAAATAATAAAATAGATTTCTGAAGAAGTATGATTCCAAAAGCAGCCCAATGTCAAAACTTTCCATTGAGCAATCCAAATGAATTGCCAATACTGTTTGCTTTTTACAAGCATGGTGTTGACTCATCTTGCAATGAATAATGAAAACTGTCCTAAAACACTTTGCTTTCTATAACAGAAACAGAATTGTTTGTGGGAGAGATCAAACCATCGTCTGGTGGCTGACACCCGTCTGTATACAAACCTCAGATACCGCAGAAAGCTTCAAAAGTACACGTGCACATAAGCAAACTTTGTGTTTTCAGGGAATTTGCTATAGAAGCCTCTTTAGAAAATACTCTGACATTGTTTGTGTTGTGTCAAGTAAATGCAAATATGAGTCATGAGTTCCCACACCAAGCGTTTCGATTCAAAAATTCTTCTCTCTCTCTCTATTACAAGGAAGCAGTTTTATCAATCACATAATATAAATTGTATCACTATTATAAATCTTGTCCTGAATTAATTCAAGAAGGCATACAAACGGGTTGAAGCTCACAGTCACCCTGGGACGAATAAAAACAAAGAAGCTAACAGAACTTTAACAACAAACATTCTTACTGGAATGTTCTATGACTTCTCTGGATTTAGTTATGCCTGTAAACACATCCACTAATGCACATCAGATTCCGGTTACTGCTTTATTTTGGGAGGGAGAGAAGGAGGGAGGGGGAGAAGGAGGGACGAAGGAAGGAAGGAAGGAAGGAGGGAGGGAAGGAAGGATCTCTGTAAAACAATGCATCAGTGCCAAGCACAGGTAATCCTCGATTCATGACCTCAATTCAGCTCAAAATTTCTGTTGCTGAGACATTTGTTAAGTGAATTTTATCCCATTTTACGACCTTCCTTGCCACAGTTGTTAAGTGAATCACTGCACTTGCTAAGTTAGTAACACTGTTGTTAAGTGAAACAGGTTTCCCCATTGACTTTGCTTGTCAGAAGGTCAGAAAAGGTGATCACATGACCCTGCGTCATGCAATCGTCATAAATATGAGTCAGTTGCCAAGCATCTGAATTTTGATCCTGTGACCATGGGGATGCTGCAATGATTGTTATCCTTCTGCCATAGGAAATTATTTCACAACAAACAACCTCACACTTAACAATAGCCTATAGCTTGTGCTGACTAGTTTCAAAAATGCCTTGTTGTGTGGCATGATCTCTATTGCTGCCTTGGCACAGTTCTTACAAACAACTCCAGAAGAAGTACCAGTCCAAATGATCCTCATTAGAACAAGAATGGAAAATGTGTTTCACGATGTCCTTTATAGCCAGCCAAAAAAATGGTCCTTGTCATTTATTTATTTTTTTAAAAAATGTTTTGCAGCTTGAAAGCAATGCTTCTCACCATAAAGACCCAAGCAATTTACTGTTTGCATGTTTGCTTCCAGCAAAAGCCACTGCACACTTTTAAACATGTTCCCAGTTGCACAGAACCAAAAGGCAAACACCCCACAACTCTGCTTGTTGTCCTTCTATCCATTTGACGCTGCTTTTTCAAATGCTAGTTTTAACACTTAGAGAATGAGGTCATGGCCAGACAGTAAAGGGATGAGAACTTATATTTGCTGACAAAAATATCTGAAATGTAAAAATAATGATTGTGCGAAAGTACTATAAATTGAAACGGAGGACATTACAAGAAGTTCCAGGCCAAAATGTGAAGGTGTAGGAAATTTTTGAACATAATATAGTTGTATCCCATGCTATCAAGGTCAAAGGGCAGCTTGATATCTATCCAGACTACTCCATGACAAACCACTAAAAATTGATGAAGGATTATAAGGAGATACTAATTCAGCACTACCTATAAAAAGAGAGTTGGAAGGGACAAAAGTCTGAAGTCCTGTTTTATATTCCACAAGACATCTCATAGACCAGGGCTGTCAAACTCCCAGCCCGCAGGCTGGATGCGTCATGAGCTGGCCAGGCCCACACCCGGTTTAATGAAGGGGGGGGGGGGAATTCCGAATACCCAATTCCCATGACGCTGCCATGACAACTTGAGTTTGACACCCCTGTCATTGACTAATCCAATGCCCCATTGTCATTTGGCCAATGAAAAAGAGGATTTAATTGGTATGGAAGGACTGAATGAGTGAATGAATTTTAAAATCTACTAGTAATCTACTAGTAATCTA